GGTTGGTCTGCCTTGCCAAAATGACAAAGTCGGAATAATCGAAACTTGTGGTCATAACATAAACCTCTATGATCACTACATTATCTGGGAGAGTCTCTTGTTTAGTCAGACTACACTATACTGTTATGGTCACTGTTTAGGCAATTTAGTCTTATAGAGCAACTTGGCCGAGAGACATGACAGTCGACGCGTTGGTCCCTGCCCAGTCATTGCCCAGTCACGACATGTGCGATGTCATCGGGAAGGAGGGGCTAGCGACCTGAACTTCCAGGAATAAGAATGTAAACAAACAAGTATGGACAGACTAACGTAGTTGCCTTTGTGTTCTCTCATTAACCCATACACGGAGACTGCTCTTGTTTTTGGTATTCTAAAGTCCACTTTGAGCTGCTTGTTAGAAAGATGCCAAGTCTGAGAGTGCTCTCTGTGAGTGTATTAGTGTTTGTGTGCATTTGCTGGAGAGGAAAAATAAGGCAATATAACATTATTATTTCCTGGAAAATGGCTCAGCAGGCAGTAGTGTACCAGCAGTGCTGAGCAGTGGTGCATGTAGAGTCTGGTCTGGTCCTGGTAGCATATGATGTGGGGTCAGAATGGAACATGTGACAATAAGATGACTAACGTTACCGTCCTTATCACTATGAGGCTCCAATGTGTGCTAATGTGAGGTGATAAGTGGTGATGAGTGTCAGTGGACGAGTCGATGATACCAAACGTCTTCTCTGATGAATGGCAAAAAGAAACCACGCCTTTTGTTCAGTGTTATAAAACACTGCCCCGCCCTAAAGCAGGGTATGCTTTAGGGCGGGGCTACACAGTTTTGCTGTTTTGAAGAAGACTTAAAACTAGAGATTGAGACCATAAACTCATGTTTACAATGTTTACTGAGAGAATAAATCAAGAGAGAAGTAGAGTTATTTTCTCATAGACTTCTATACAACCAGAGGAGTCGCCCCCTGATGGCCATTACAGAGCGTGCAAGTTTAAGGCACTTCAGCATTGCCTGTACTTTTCAGAATCGGAGGTCGCCGCCTGTCAGTAACATGAAGTCAGTGCCGCTGTCATGTATGAGAACACACTGTAAATGTATTTCTGTCAGACTCAGCCTCTCAGATGCAGAGTGCCATTGAACAATTCACTCTTATTTTCACATTTCGCCTCCTCAGTGTTGAGTTTGCTCCGACACGCTCACACTGCACCCAGTCACCTATTTTACAACCTGCAGAAGTAATTCTGTCCTGCTTTGTTCTGTCCGCACACTAAGATGGAATGTGTTCCTAACACCTGTCTGCAGTGTGTGTGTGCGTGTGTGTGCGCGTGTGTGCGTGTGTGTGTGGGGTTGAATATGAATAACCCATGAGGCTCTCCCCCTCGCTGCTAGAAGTCAATCCCTGTAACAGGGCCAAGCTCTAATAGCCTCCTATTGATCTGCTGAGAGCAGATGAGCGAGCCTCTGAACACTTGTTCCTACCTGCTCCCTTAACACCTCCCTGGGCTCTGATAGCAGGGAGAGCAGCGTGAAGGACATACCTTCACTCAGTGACACACACACACACAAGAAGTGGAGGACACCCTGGGGAGGATAGGGGAACTGAGGATAAGGTGATAATTTCAGTGCAGGTTTCCAGAAATGAAATTTTACACAGCTGCAGACTGCTACCTAGCAGCTAACACTACAGCTGCGAGGGGAAAATCGACCACAGCGCTGCACACTCAGCATGTGTGTCATAGACTCAGATTATAGTCTGACATCACTTAAAAAGTGTGATCATGGTCAAACATGGCAGCAGCTTCGATGATGCCCACCCACCAAGTGTTGGACGGAATGCACGTCAAAATAATTTCCATTGGAGAGGACAAGAAGTACAGTTTGATTCTAATAATGTGGGCTTGTTTAAATCAAAGGGTTTATCCTCTGGGGAACATGAATGGGGAAAAAGTTTGTTTCAATGCATGCATAAACCAAACTGTATAAATGTAATTGAGTGTGGGGTTATAGCGGCTGGTTCCTTTGTGTGGCCCAGTGACTTTCTGGAGTCTTCACTGGTTTCGCCGGTAACCTCATGGCGACAGCAAGATGTCACTGCACCCGGCCAAAGAAGTAGTCCAGCACACAATTCACCATAAAACCCACAAACAGGGCAGTGAGTGATGTCTGGCCACATGCAAAGAAATAAAGGGCAGCATTTCACTTCTACGACTGAGTCCATGCAATCTGAAAAAAAAAAAAAAAGAAGCTAACTGCTAACTAACAGCGAGGTAAGAACATCCAACATTCAACCAAACAAAGAGCCGTTCATGTACGTGAAGGCTTTGAAGGTTTGTTTACGAGACTATATCCAAACGCAAGTTTGGTCCTGAGAGAGAAAGTAATGTGATGACCACAGGCCTTGGAGCATCAAACTCTGGCTCAAGTTTTGGGAGTTTGTCCAACTTTGTCTGAAATAATAGAACCAGCACTTTGTAGCTTCTTTTTTTTTTAACAGTAGTTACCCATATTTCTCTATACTGTATTCACCTCTTCAACTGAGCTTAGTACAACAGTGACTGTAACATCCAACAGCTTTTTTATTCACGTCTACAGCACACGTCTTAATCACTGATGAATTAGAATGTAGCCTACCTCCAGGTTATTATGAATTATGATTTGAATTCTATGTACACTCTGCCATTTTTCCTTTACTGTAACTTGTGTAACTCAGTGCTGACCACACACACACACACACACACACACACACACACACACACACACACACAGAGTTAGAGACCTGCATCTATTTCGAGTCAAGAGGAGTAGCGTATCTCACACATATTATGTTTTTTGTCGCGCTTCACTTCGGCTCACTGAGAAGCTCTTGGTCAAGCGCTGACAAAATGGCCAGGCGACCCCGATGCCCGTAACCATAGTAACTCACCCTGTGCTGCTGCTTGTGTGTGTCACATGGGAAACACTAGACTACAGGCTGTGAGGCCTAAAGTGTGCTGAAGTGTGCATGAACTTGGACTGACGGATGCAACGACGCACCAGTCGACAAAATGACATCAAACCTATTGGTTACCAGGGCAACCGTAGAAAACCCCGTGAGCATCGATAGTCTCATCAGACTAGCGGAGGCATTCGTGTTGAGCCGAGTCGCATGCTTGGACTGCACTCCGAGTAATCAGAGGAGAGGAATTAAGCAGGAAGAAGGAAATCCACACTCGGAAAAATTCAGTCAAGTCAGAATAAACCACACGGCGCATAATCTCCTGTCCAGTGGAGAGCTCAGGTTTATCTCTAATCAATGTTTTACATGAGCACCCCCGCAACCCCGCATAGGCCATTAAACACATTTGATGATATGTTCGGTCACAACGACTAGATGCTCTTCCGACTGTGGCAGCAGCGCAGTAATCTACTGCTGCTGCTCTCTTGTGTAACTCTTACGGAGGACTGCCACAAACAGCTTGGTGCTTCTGATGTGTGAGATCAGATGGCATCTTATCTCAATTACAGTTAAAGCTCATTCTTTCATCACGCCCTAAATCTAACGGCTCGGCCGGCGAGGACATCTGGTGTGTGTGTGTGTGTGCGCGCGCGCGCGTGTGACACCAGACATGAGTCATTTCCATTAAGTCTGTGTCTTCTCTTCCAAATCACTGACCAAATCAAAGCACAGGTTTAGCCAACCGTGTGCTTTTTTGATGACAACACATTTAATATTTTATAATCAATTTTATCACTGAAATGTGCCAAATAAAAACTCATCAAAAACATCATTAAAACTCTGTCAGTGCAGTTAATTAGAAGAGTGTAGCAACAGCCCGCACAGCTATGGTAGTCAGTGCACAGCAACATGCCATATTGCATGTAGTCACCACGTTACCGATTAACAAGCACCCCTTGCATTGCAGGGATTAACTTTGCCGTTTCCCTATAAGGTTTGACCAGGCCTTTATAGACTCCCACTGTAACGCCACATTTACCTGGTGCACTGCTACCGTGCTGTTGCGTGGACCTCTGAGTGAACGGCCTGGAAAACGTCTGTGGTGCAATTTTACAGAACATTACTGTAAATGCTGTAATGAACAAAACAGCCTGTGTCACACTCTTTCCTGTTTCATGTAGGGATCCTCCATCTCACCAGTCCTGACTCCTCTCGAGGATGGAAAACATTCATTTCCCCCTGTGGCGGCTGCAAACTAGCCAAACCATCGATTATGAAGACACTTGTTGTGATGTTCAGTTGAGGTGTTAACTTTCCTGTCAGTGTGTTGCAGCCGACCATCCTGGCAAAAGACCACTCTAAGTAGAGCAGCCTGGATAATTGGACTGTGCCATTCTGCAGCAGCAAGAGGGGTGTTGGCGGGAACCTTTGCATCTGCGCCACAGCGGAGGAGTGTCTTCACACCCCTGCGATTGACTATGGACTGGGCTTGTATATCTTCTGCAGTTAGGCGATGGTGAATTTAGTGTCCCTTGATCAGAGGAGCACTCACTATGTTGTTTAACCTAAGTTCTGTTTAATTATGTTAAGTTTATACAGTTCTTCTAATTTGTTACTTTGGCTTGATTTTGTCACCCATCCTCATTGTACATATTTTGGGTGAATAAAATCCCTATTTTTCCCACTTTACCTGCTCTCCCAGCTTTATGCGTACCCTGGTCCCTCACACCCCCTCAACACACGCTGCTCTCCGCACGGTTATTAAAAGAGTGTGTTGCTTGTACGTGTTTGTGGTTATGGCTCTCTCCTGCAGGAAGACAACGCAGCATGAGAAAAAGCTAGAATTACCGCCTTGCGGTTGTGTGCCTCCTCGGTCTGCCAGTCATGTGTCAGTGTCACAGTGACCTTGACCTTTGACCTTAAAAATCCAAGTCCAAAGTGGACGTTTGTGCCAAATTTAAAGAAATTCCCTCCCGGCGTTCCTGAGATATCGTGTCTACGAGAATGGACCGGACGGACAGCATGAAAACACAATGCCTCTGGCCACAACTTGTTATATACATGTTGTCATACCTGCAATAGGTAGTCAAAGAGAGCCAGTCTCCCCCACTCTGAGTGGTGAACTCCCATGCACGGCGCTGACCTCAGGTCTGCCTCCCTCCCACAGCGGAGCCGCAGCAACTTCTGGTACTGGGCCCAGCTGAGCGGCACCGAGTTCTGGTCGTTGTCCTTATCGGCGAGGTGCTGAATATCCGGATCCCACCACACCACGGGTCGGGGAGTGCCGCTGATGTATCGGTACGGCAGAATCTTGCTGCGGAACGTCCTCAGCACCGCAGGGAGACTCCTGTTGAGTCCCAGCACCCTGTCCAGGTGGAAGGCCAACACTTCGAACCAGTCGTCGGTGCGTTTGATCAGGGAGCAGTGCCCCTGTTGGCAGAGCTCACCGTGGGTTTCTGGACTTCTGTGGTCGGGTCCAGGCTCAGGGGAACCCCTCTTAGGCTGCTGTCATGGAGAAATAGAGTTATATCATGGTTTCCATTTAGTCTATAAAATCACCCAATATCTAGTGCCAAGGGCTACAGCCATGAATCATTGTTCAATCAAATAATACAACTTTTCAGCCAGCTGTTCAATTCATAACACCTGGTCTGCCTTCAACCTTGCGTGGGAGCCAAATAGCTGCAATGTTAACACCACGGTAGCTGTTTGGCAGATTAATTGCTGCCAGCAGGACGGTGTACGTGGGATTGAGTCATAATGAACTACATAGCCCATGTTGATCGCAGCGTCACCCCCAGTGCAACAGTGTGGCTCACTGACACAGGGGAACGAGATGAGTCAGGCTTTGGACGCACAAATAGTAGTTGCTAATCAATTTTAATTTTTTCGGCTTAAGGTCGGCAACAAGCAACAACAAGCATGGCGGAATTCCATAAAGAGGACCCGCTCCCTATTTAGAGATGAAGGACTCACACGGTAACAGACACACAAAGATCCTAGTTTCAGCTGATTGTACGCTTATGAAAACATAGATGCGAATAGTATATTTCATTTCTGCTAATAGATCCCCCAAAACGCTTCACTGGCCCTTTAGTCTGGTCTATATGATACCGAGTACACATGGTCAATGTACTGTATGTGGTATGGAGATAAATTGTTTGAAAAAGACACATCCATCTAAATTGTGTGACATTTAAAAGTCACCTCTCGTCCGTGTAATTAAAATGAGCGTACCTGCTGGTGTGCAGGAGGATCCAGGGCCACTCGGAGCACCTGTCCGTGTGCGGGCACCCTGGCCTTGCTGATCACCTCTCCCTCAGCTAGGAGCTCCATCTTCCGGACGTCGTCCTGGCTGAGCCATGCGAGAGGCCGGAGATCAGGACTAATCCTGATCCCCCTGCGGTCGGCGTCTGGGAAGTCCTGGTCTCTGAAGCTCCGACACCAGCCGCCGTCTTCTACCCTCGCGGCCGCCTCTGGTTCGGACAAAGCCTTCCTGCGGTCCGACGACCCGGGATTCCCCCTCTCTTTGAGGTGATCCTCTGAGAGATTAAGGTGTTTTTTTAGATCTCTGGTGGGCTTTTTCACAGCCCGCTGCTCCTGACCCACTTTGTCAGATTTCCCAAAGGGCTTTGCTGCTTGTCTGTGTTTTCCCAAAGCCCGGCGATGCTCAGATAGATTTGTACTTGCAGGGCCGCCATGTATTCGCGTGTCCGCCTTCCTGTCCCGTCCGTCCGCCTGTCTGTCTGCAGCTCGTCTGCCATTCATTAGGCCGTGTGCCGGAGCAGGGATACGTGCTGCTGTGGATTTGCCCCTTTCAAGATGAATGTAGGTCTGCGCGGTGTCGCTTGGCTTGATTCTATGCTTCGGCCCTGTGTTGTTGACTGTAAATTTCGGGAGACGGGGACGCTGATGATTGGTTGGGTGCCGGACGGCGCCTGCTGTCTCCTTTCTTTTGGAGGCGATGCCTTTGCTTTTGAGTTTATTTCTCCTCTCTTTTATGCCGTTTTTCTCATTGCCAGCGGCCTCCCCTAGAGCTTCTGGTGGCACCAAACGTTTAGACGTCTCTCCCCGAGCTCCAGATTTCCAGGCCCCGCTGTGGACGTGAGCGAGCGGCCGTTGGAAGGCGGCGGCGGCTGAAGGGGGCTCCACGACTCCGCTCCTGGGCCGGAACTGCCCGGCGGAGCTCAGGGCTCTTGAGGACCGCCAATCGACGTCGTGAAAGGGGAGAGTCGTCGTCATCACGGAGATGGCAAGGAAGAGGAGGACGAGGGGGGAGAGGAGGAGCAGCCATTTTTGACCGCAGCAGAGTTTTGACCACGCTCGCCAGGCCTGGGAGGAAGAAAAAATAGACATAACAAGTTAGAAGGTGATCATGATGGAGTGGTACCATAAATTGCAAAGATAGCATTTGATGCTAAGCAGAATGGGAACGCTCAGATTCCTGTGGGGTTAACTAACCCGAGGCAGCACTGAGATCTCTTGGCTGGAAGGCATGTGTCAGGCAAGTGAGCGATGGGAGAATAGAATAAAAATAAACTGTGCTGTGTGGCATTATTCTGCTCTGTCAGAGTTTGGGTGCTTATTTCCCTAAAAATGGAAATCAGGGATTTGGTGGCAAAGCGGGAGCAAGTCTGAATACGGGAGCGGCAGAAATACAAAGCGCGTGTCGGCCGGCTCTGTGTTTCCAGTAGCTCGCGGCAGAATTGAACTCATCCGGCTGAGACCAATGCGATTGTGGCGTGCTCGTAATTCAGTGCTGCAGCAGCAAGAGGAGAAAAAAAGAAGCCTGTCACCAACCTTAATATTGCTTACTGTACACTCACTGGAGGCTGTATGAAAGTGATTTTTGCTACAGAAATTGAAAACGCCGGCCCTTTATTTACTGTGGAGTCAGGCTGTGTAGTCCTTCCAACAGATGCGGCAAATAATTACAGCACCGTGAGACCAAAGAATAAAACCAACGCTGAGATCTATTGTCGGGGTGTTCCAGGGTTTGTGTTTGTGCGTCTATGGCGACGAATGTCCCGCATGACGGCAACCGTCTGAGCAGAAACCACCCATCAAATTGTCAGAGGAAGGCCGGCGGCTCCCCTGCAGACAGGGTGGCCCTCACTTCACGTTCAGTGGAAAGATAAACAGTAACAGAAGAGGCGTAGATCGGCCAGCCCTCACAAGGAAGCTTCCTTTCATTCCGATGACTTGGAATGGTGCCCAAACGACACGAGCAACCCTGAAACAGAGCACTATGTGAAAGTCACGTATGAGTAAAAGCCACATAGGTGAAAAGTTCTTATTTTCCCACCAGGATGACCCAGATAACTCACTGCCCCCCCAACCCCCCTCACCTTCTCTGTCCTCCCCCATTCAGGCGAATGCCGAGAGGAGGAATGTTTCGGGCCCTTGAGACATCTTCCCCATCTTAACTACATTCCCAGATCCCTCCACCTGTGAAAGGATCCCATTATTCCTCCTCTGGACCAGGAGGCTCCCTAAGCTGGCAGCTCAATCACCGAGAGAGCCTGACACGCATACACTTATACGTTCCCAATCTGTGTCACTGTCAAGTATATATATTTAACCGCGTCTTAATATACACTGCAGCGAATGGCGCCGCAGTGCCGACGAAGGATGGCACAAGGCGGACGTCTGCTAGCAGTGCTTTGTCTGAGGGATCACAATGAATACTAATCGGCCCGCGATCGATCAAAAGTGCTGCGCGGAGCAATTGGACGTCACTGCTGCGTTTAGGGCGGGGCTTTGGAGCATTACACTGAATGAGAGGGATCATCGTCGAGGAGGGTCGGCAGCCTCAGCTGACCTCCAAGAGGCTTCTTATCCATTTATTTACTTCCCGCCGCAGGGTTTCACAGCAGATCTGCACGACCGCCCGCCTCTGCCTCACTCCTGCTTGAATCTGTTTGCCTGCATCGTGAGGACGTAAGATCAATTAGTCGATTGTTGGTCGCTGGACAGAAAATGAATCGGCAGCTATTTCGATTCATTGCTTCGAGCAAAAAAAAAAAATGCATCTCAAATGTGATGATTTGTGGTTTTTTGTTCTTTTGTTATTGTTATACATGACAGTTAATGGACTATCTGAAGGTTGTCGACAGTCAAACAAAGAGGGCGTAAATTGTCTTATAGACGTTCCCAAACCAATTTCCTGGGAGGACAGAATTGTCTCTACTAATATTCGAGCAAACTTGCTCGTATTATCTTTGGAGTGAACACGGAGGAGAGAGAGGCAGATGTGGTGTGAGCGGCTGTATATCACAGCGCTTCGTGGCACATGCATGTCTGTATGCATATAGAAGTCTGTGTGTAGATAAATCTGTAGATACTGTGGGAAACACGTCTATATTTTAAATTAGTTTTAGTATTTTTGTGCTCATCGGTGAGGCTGCTGGAGTAGAGTGAACCCTGTAATCTTGGTTGCCGATGATGCTAATTTCTCTCCTGTTTCAGATTTGATTCCCGCTTGAATGTGTGTGGTTTTGAATTTTTTCGGTTTAAATGCCGTTATTGTGGCTGGGGTGGACTGGGAGCATCGAGTTTGGCATTTTTGATGTCGCCATCTTGGATTATTGCAACCAGTGAACGGAAGTGACCATATTTGGACTGAGGAGGAGTGATGTAGGGATGCCGTATATGACTCTGGTTGACTTGAAACTTGAGATTGAGACTAAGTGAGAGTTCTATACAATCAGACCTCTTTTTGCAACCAGAGGAGTCGCCTGCTGGTGGCCATTAGAGAGAATGCAAGTTTAGGCCACTTTAGCATTAGCTTCACAATTCAGACCCGGAGGTTGCCGCTTGGTCTGTATGCATATATAAATCTGTGTATAGATACAACTCTGTATTTTATATTAGTTGTATTATTGTTGTGCTCATCGGTTGGTGGGGTAGAGGGAACCCTTTAATCTTTGTGGCTTTGTAGGATCAGATTACGTAGTTATTTCGGAGTCCCTTTTTGTCGGTTTATTGCCGTTAAATCACAGCCAAATCAGTTTATTTTGTGTTCATACAGCTGTAGTAAACAGCGTCGTGTGGCTTGCTAGACACAGTGAATACAGCTCGATAAAATCCATGGAGCTCCTCTGAACAATGTTATGAACCCAGACATGACGGCGTTTAGTTTCCCGGGATATCTGTGACTTCCACAACACGTACTAAGCAGAAATAGAGGTTATTTTTTTCATGGTTAATTGTGGACAGTTGAACAGCTTTCAGGGCCCCCTCTCCGGCGTGTCCAGCGTGATTCGTGCGATTCACGCGAATGAACACAAATGGTCCCCGGCGTATTGACCGGCGGCGCAAATGACGCGAACGTTTGGTGTGAACACGGCCTCAGACTGGGCTTTCTCTGGAGGGGGCCTCAGACTGGGCTTTCTCTGGAGGGGGCCTCAGACTGGGCTTTCTCTGGAGGGGGCCTCAGACTGGGCTTTCTCTGGAGGGGTCCTTAAACGCTTTAAAAGAAGCGTTTCAGACTGACGGTGCGTACAGGTACATGCAGGCATACAGTATGAGAAATATAACGTGTTTTGTGAACATTAAAGCATGTAAACATTTTCCAGTAGTAACCCAAAATACAAGCATGAACCTGAAAATGTCCCCTTTAAAGCTGCTGCAACAACTCTCACCAAGATCCAACATGTTAATAGAAACAAATCGGCCCTTGCTGAGACCTGACATGAGGACACCGCTGCCATTATCACGGAAACAAACACACGGGTCACCGCGCATTAACTCGTTAGCGCTTCACTGGTTTTTCTCCCAGCGGCGTGCCGTCCTTCCTTTAAGTCTCCCTCGCTTGTTTCAGCTGAGCATCGCTAATTAGCGTCCGAGCGTGTGCGGATCGGTTGTTGCTCGGCATGAACGTGTCAGCGCGAGACTGTGTTGTTGATCCCCACCGTCGCCTTCAACACCTCTCTGCAGTTAACACGCGCATGCAGCCGGGGCCCAGGGTCAACACGGAGACGTCGTGGACGCAGCTGGAGGAGAGGAGGACACGCTCTATATGTTTTCACGTGATGTGGTTGGCTGTTTAGACTCTGTCGCCGTGCACTTTGACCTGCAGAATAAATACTTTGAAAGAAAACACTGCAGAACCGCAAACAGCAGAGATCTGTGGGTAAATGCACACACACACACACACACACGGCTTTCAGTTGCTTTTAAACACACAAGGTTACAGAGTTTAAGTTATTTGAACATTTTTCTCTGTTCCTTCAAAAAGAAAAATGACACTATTACTGGCAAGCTAAAGACATTTTCCATTTGCTATCTCTCCAAGTTCTTTTTCTTCCTGACAGTATTTGTTCCTCCCTCTTTGTCTGGCTCCACTGTGCAGCTTTGACAACAGCTCAACCCCTCCACACACACACACACACACACACACACACACACACACACACACACAC